CCCTTCTGCAGGCATGCACAAGAAGCCAACACCTAATTTAGCACAATGGACCTTTTCACTGAAATCTTATCACGAGGTGACAAGTACCAACCTTGCTTCCCTCCATGTTCTTTGAAGTTGACACGATCATGATGTTGACCAATAAACCTTACCAGAGGGAACCTGCTACCCATTTACTATTACACCAGCTGACAGTAATGTGTTTGTAAAACAATGCTGGCTGATTATATGATGTTCATAAAGGTCAGTTGTGACAAGTCAAGCCACACAAACAGGTCGCGGCTGGCGACAACAAAGGATTCATCCGTCTCCCTGGACTCCTGGTCAGATCATAGAAAATGGCATCTGTCACTTAGCACAGCCTAACCTGATAGGTGTAGGACTCACTTCTCCCAGAAATCTTTCATGTCAGCACTGTGTTGTCATGGACTTAGTGACCTTCACCTTTCTTTCTACCTAATTATTTGGACATGACTAAGATGGTGTTAACAACATTTTGGCTTTGAAATTTTACCATCACTGAAGCAACATATGGGGTACTGGGCTCGAACTCAAGATTCTGGCATGAATGCACCAACCAAGTCCTACCACCTATCATAAGAGACAAAAGTCAGATTATTTTAAGAAGGACCCAGGCCCAAACATAGGATTCGGGCATGAGTAAATGCATCCACTAGTAACCCATCATGACCGAAAAAAAGTCAGACTGATTTAAGCAAGCACTAGGCCCAAACACAGGATTCTAGCACGATGAGTAAGTGCATCCACCAGTTACCTTCCATCCATCATGACAGATAAAAGTCTGACCAGTTCAAGCAGGAACTACCGGTAGGCATATGACAAGGGGACTAAAGAACATAATTTACAAGTGATAAATATATTGCAGACTCAACATTTCAAGTGTTATGTTGGACAAAACACCAACTGAAGTGGCAAGCTATGAAGGTCTGCATATGATAAATGCCAGCAGGAAACAAAATCAGAATTTCAGAAGCAGGTAATCGAGGCTGAGGGTGAACACCATTTCTGGTATAACAGAGTCACTCATGTTAGTTAATGTAGGGTACAAAATTAATTTGACAGTGCAGCCCGTCCAGAATTATCACTGCCCCCAGTGCACTGGACATCTACTGTGGTGAAATCTCCAGGTTCAACCTTTGGAGCAGTATTGACTGATTAGTGCGAGTTCCACTTCCTCCAATTACAATGTCCCAGACTCCCCTCTACCCTTTGCTCTACTTGTCATTCAGATCTGTTTGTACATCTTCCCATCCATATGCATGTAGTTGTACCATCTTTCATTTCTGTGACACACCTATACTACTTATCAAGAACACATCTGGACTTTCTTCCATGTCACAAATTGAACTTTACAAATACCTCATCAGTTTTTCACAATGTGACATTGGTATCCTATGGTGTGCAGGTTTTACAATCTCGGGCCAATACACTCTCAGACATTTAAATTTACTTAATAATTCATAAGTGTCTGAAATTAATGGAGTCCCTTGTGTCCCTAGGGGTAAGCTCCAGCAGCATTTGAATCCAGGGACCCTAATAATCTAGATTAGGGATATGACCTTGTTAGGTTCATGCCTAATTTCAAAACATTTGTAGTGCATTTGTTTTGCAATGAATGTATCTTTTTCTGGGCCTCCTACAGGACTTAGCCTCCAGATTATAAGTGTCTGAAATTAATGGTGTCGTCCCTCGAGGTGTGCTCCAGCAGCATTTGAATCCAGGGACCCTAACAATCTGGATTATGGATATGACCCCGTTTCAAACATTTGTAGTACATTTGTTTAGCAATACATGTATCGGTATTTTCGATCCACATTGCGATATACTGGTGTGAAGTGTTTGACAGTGATGGACATTGTCTGCACATGCAGATTCTACTTTCCACATAAAGTAAATATTTCACAGCATGGTCAGTTGCCACCATTTTGTAGTCATGGATACAGGGGAGATAACACTGTGAATGAAACATTTCTTATGCATTTTTTTAATTTGTGAATTATTTCCTATAATTTTCAAAAATATACTAATTATGATTATACTTATTATTTTTTTCAAAATATACTGAAGGCAGAAAAATACTGAATATGTGTCAGTTGAAAAGTGTATTACAGTATACCAGTGAAACCATAGTCCTTTCCTTCACCAAATCCCACCATGTTGATTTAATAACAGTCTTGCTCAGCTTTCAAATATATTTCATGATGACTGTAACAATGATTTCTCCGACATGGGACTGTTTTGATCACTCAAGAATACGTGACTGGAATCGACTTTACAAGGGAGGTTTGACCCGAACATGCTGGTTTGATGGCTATAGATCTTACAAAAAAGAAAGATGCTTGCATTACATGCGAAACCAGAAGCAGACCCATCCATAACCATTCCTGAATGCACCAGAACTTTTACACTAGAAACATGCATCATGAACATGCAGTACAACAGAGTCCTATCCCTGAAGTTACTCTAAACATATACTTAATCAAAAAGTATCTTTGAAAAACAATCACTCCAGACAGGTGAAACACATGACCAAATAATCACAACCAACACAATCAGACTTAAGATTTTATATCCACCTTTTATCCCCACAACAAACCCCAACACAATCAGACATGTTACTTCATATCAACCTTTTATCCCCTACAATAAACCCCAACACAATCAGACATGTTACTTCATATCAACCTTTTATCCCCTACAATAAACCCCAACACAATCGGACCCGTTACTTCATATCAACCTTTTATCCCTACAATAAACCCCAACACAATCGGACAACGTTTTATCTTCATATCAACCTTTTATCCCTACAATAAACCCCAACACAATCGGACACGTTATTTCATATCAACCTTTTATCCCCTACAATAAACCCCAACACAATCAGACACGTTACTTCATATCAACCTTTTATCCCCTACAATAAACCCCAACACAATCAGGACATATCAACCTTTTATCCCTACAATAAACCCCCAACACAATCGGACATCGTTACTTCATATCAACCTTTTATCCCCTACAATAAACCCCAACACAATCGGACATGTTACTTCATATCAACCTTTTATCCCCTACAATAAACCCCAACACAATCAGACATGTTATTTCATATCAACCTTTTATCCCCACAATAAACCCCAACACAATCAGACATGTTACTTCATATCAACCTTTTATCCCCTACAATAAACCCCACAATCACACTTCATATCAACCTTTTATCCCCACAATAAACCCCAACACAATCAGACATGTTACTTCATATCAACCTTTTATCCCCTACAATAAACCCCAACACAATCAGACACGTTACTTCATATCAACCTTTTATCCCCACAATAAACCCCAACACAATCAGACATGTTATATCATATATCAACCTTTTATCCCCTACAATAAACCCAATCGGGACGTTTGCTTCATATCACAATAAACCCCAACACAATTTTACTTCATCAACCTTTCTATCCCCTACAATAAACCCCAACACAATCGGACCGTTTACTTCATATCAACCTTTTATCCCCCACAATAAACCCCAACACAATCAGACACGTTATTTCATATCAACCTTTTATCCCTACAATAAACCCCAACACAATCGGACACGTTACTTCATATCAATCTTTTATCCCCTACAATAAACCCCAACACAATCAGACACGTTACTTCATATCAACCTTTTATCCCCACAACAAACCCCTGCAAACTAACCAAACCTCAACCCATCTCTCTCTTTATCCTACAACAATCATGTAGCTATGTATTTATCATCCTTCACTGCAACAGTGTGTACAGTCAGGTGACTGGTCCAGGACTGTGTCAATCTGCCCATTGGATGAAAACAAACGACCAGGACAGACTTAAGTAAGCAGGAACCAGGCAAGACAAACGCCAGGTCAAGTATTATGGGTGCTTGAAAACCACTTCCCTCATCTCCCAGTCATTAATCCACCTCAAGGTTGCACCTAGAACCCCACGACCTTCATGACAAGTAATGGCCATGTTATCAGGCCACTTCAAGTCCTTCACTGTCACCGGCCGATTCCAACGCCAGACACTTAAATCAGCGAGCCCCACTACAGTGTCAGGCCCTGCTGCTGGGACTGAGCGGAGGCTAATGGTGTATGGTCAAGAACACAGACCTTCTTCAACTCAAGCCTGGTTGACATGGAACTCGGGAATTATATGGGTTTTACACCAATCGGCAAATATTACAACTACAATGCAGCAGTCCACAAACTGATTGGACATGAGGCAAAACAGTACTGGAAAAGCATCAATACCATGCTGTCAAGATGTTAAAGATCAGAGAGTTGATCTTCTCTGGTGGATTATTTTCAGGAATTATCTATACTAGTGCTCACAGAGTTGGTCTTGCTTGTTGACGGGTTGCTTGTTTCCGTTTAACACTGTACTCATCAATATTCCAGGGACCCGAAGATCCAGGGTAGAATAGGTCTTCAGCAACCCATGTGCTTGCCATAAAAGGCAGACTATCTTGTCTGAGGCAATATAACGGGATCGAGGTGGTCAGTTTTAATGACTTGGTTGACACATGTCAGCGGGGGCAAGATTAAGCAGGAGTCGATGCTCATGCTGTTGATCACTGGACTCATGGTCAATATTCCAGCTGGAATATTGCTGGTATGGGACGTAAAACTAAACTCACTCACTCACCCAATATTCCAGGTATATGATGGTGGTATGTAACTAATCAAACGCGTGGTCCAGACAATCCCCTGATCAATATGACGAACTTTAATCCATGCAGCTGGGGCAAGAACACATGTATGGAATGTATTCCAGTGTCTCTGCATGATCCAGCTGTTGTGACAATCTGATTCCTATCTCACCAACTATGATAGGCATGAGGCGCCGTAGGCCTCTGCTGTCTTTGTTGAAGTAGGAAGTACGAACATCACAATTGTCAAACCTCTGGATCCTGAAACCTAGAAGTAACCATGGTAACTTACTTGAGCCTCTTGTCTGCTGCTGCTGCACCTCCGGGGATGATCTTGGTGATGAAGATGCTGGGGTCCTCGCCGATGTGGGGGTTGTCACTGCCGCCAGCGATGCTGAACCCAAGGCCTGTTGTTCCCTGGAACAGACAATAATCATGAAACACAAGCATTTGTTTGTTGGTCTGCATGTTGTTTAAGGCAGTGTTCAGCAATAGGCTCTGACCATAGACGCCTGTGTGTTGATGTCTCTGTTCAGATGTCTATCGCCCGTCAAAGTACATGGTGAGCATGGATAACAATATTAAATATATGGATGAACAACTTCTTTATTGCTGTGAGAGTGACGTTTCGGTGTAGGTTCTAACACCGTTATCAAGCAACTTCAAATGCCTCTCAAAGGTACATGGTGGTCTGAAACCTCTCCTACATACAGAGAATCTCACCCTCGTGTCTACTGATATTAATTATATCAACACTCGTTGACAAAATTACAAATATCCAAGGCTTGCCGAGGATATTTTTACCTTTATCAACGAGAGTTGATATAACTGATATCAGTAGACACGATGGTGACATTCTATTTATCATAAAAAAAACATTCTTCATTAGTTTTCAATGAAAAATGTACATCTCTCAACACTGTACTACCATTAGATTTGCAGTGCAGCGATGTCATAGCATTGTGACATCATAGAGGTGATGACGTCATAGCATTGTCAGGGCATTGTACAAAATCTACTGTCAAAATGATATCTCTTAGGAGACATATAATCTCACACAAGCGAGATCTCCTGTGGAACACAGAATGGGATGATAAATAGATATATTCACTGAGTTCCAGGGTAACTCAAGGACCAATTATTCATCACAGGGTGTAGATTGGTACGTGTAAAAAGTGAGTGAGTGAGTGAGTGAATGAGTGAGTGAGTGAGTGAGTGAGTGAGCAAGCAAGCAAGCAAGCAAGCAAGCAAGCAAGCAGCCAGGAAGGATTCAAGCAAACTTTCAGCATACATTGATGGTTTGCTTCAGCATAACTTTGAAACTCTTTTTTAAAATCATGTCATGTTGATGTGGGAGAAAAGAGCTTAGCAGTCTGTGCCCAAACCTTTTGACAGAGCTTGCCTGAACAACTCTGCACAGCATATCACCACACCTTACATAACAAGGCTTCATGCCCCCCCAACCTGGGAGCAGTTTATCACTGTCATATCTGTAAGGGAGGAGGCCCAGCATTCCTAACAATGCTGAACATGAATATGAAATTTCAGACAATCTTTAATAACTTTCTCCTGGTCTTGTCCAACACTGACATTTACTTCCAGCTTTTGTCCACAACAACTGTCTTGTCCTCAGGAGATAGTAATCATCATCTAACTTCAGACTTAATACTGTTCACATTTCTATTCAAAAGCATTCCTTTGAAGAAGAATAATAAGTTTGGCTTGCTGATGGCCAATGAAGCAAAAAGACTATTATGTCTGATATCCAATCTCTGGTCTATTTCAGCTGCAAAGGTCTTTAAAGAGAACACTAGAATATCAACCAGGAATCATGGTGTCTCGTTTACTGTTCACTTAGTCCACCAGAATAGACTGCAGGTTCTCGCAAGTCTTTAGCAATTAAAGTCTGTTTTGATTTGTTTAACTCCACACTGGAAGTTATTCATGCAAAAGACTGTGACCTGAAAATAGTCTGGACCAGACAAACCAGTGATCAAAGTTTTGTGCCTTAATCATTTGGGTCACATGTCCTGTATTCTTAATGGAACCATACAAAACAAATTTATTTCTTGTCTGCATTTTTCACAATGTTATGATAGGCAATGAGTTTACAGGGAGAGAGAGTGCCCATGTTTCCCTCTGCAAAGGGGTGAGTGAGTGAGTGAGTGAGTGAGGTGGGTGGGTAGGCAAGTGGATAGGCAGGTGAGTTAATGAGTGAGTGAACTGCTGATGTCATTTTCACATGACAAAGGTGTCACCAAGAATACTTCACAAATTGAATTATTTTATGAGAACTGAACACACGTCATTATTCAAAATGTTCCGAGAAGCAGAGTTTACAGGTGAGTGAGTGGGAGAGTGAGGGTGTTAGAGAGTGGATGGAGGGTGGGTTGGCAGTGAGCTAGTGAGTGAGAGTACTGCTGATGTCATTATTACAAGACACCAAGAATACTTCCCAAATGGAATTAATTTATGAGAACTGACCACGTCTTCACCGACACAAGCGGCACCAGGGGCCAATTCCAAGATGCAACCTTTACTAAGGTTAACCTTAACTCCCATTCTGTAACATTGAGCTAAGGTTATCTTAGTGACTTACGATCACCTTAGTGCTTTGTGAAAGGAGGCCCTGGACCACAATAGCATACCCAGCAACACCAACTCCAGGCTGAACGATCAGACTGAGGGAATGGAATCCAACAACTGGCCCTATCACAACTTTATCTTCAAATTATAAACTAGCTGCCTCAATACCCATATTTATCTCAAGAAAAATGCACAGAACAACAATAATTTCCTCGAAAATGCTACTTATAACATTTTGTGCAGTGAGATTTTTCCATACATCTGTATATCAACAGTATTATTGAACCGTCAGAACAAAAATATACATTGAATATAACTTTTTTCCAGGAAATGACCAATAATCATTTACAAGAAATCGTAACTATTCATGTGCATCCATAAAGGAACATTCACACAAAAATAATAAATATTCTCCAGTAACCTTATGGATTCGCTGTCAAAACTTAACATCACTCGTATTTTTCTTGTCCTCCAAAAAATCTGGCGTCTGAGGAATATGATCTTGCTCTCAGAAATCACGTTCTTGATCCTCCACTGCAAAATTAGATTTAGTATTTCATCCCCCCATTAAGCTGACAGATATCAGATATGATACGAGCCTGGGTGCAAGGATGTGTCGGTCCAAGCTGCCGTGTGGGGGTTACCACTCTGTTATTGTGTAAACGAAGATTCAGATTTGAAGCAGGGATGTGTTTAAAATATCACATGCTCATGTGTTTCTTCGGCTCTTGTAATTACCAAGGATGAAACTTGGGAACCTGATATCTCACTCATCAATTCTGTCGTCTTTGATTATGAATTTTCGTGATTTGGTCATGGAACTGGGGCTGTGCCATCCGGTCTGTGTAGAATGCTTACGCAATCAGGAAAGATGTTCCATTTTTTTAAATATAAATTTTATTTTATGTAAAAGGGAAAGTGCAAAAGTTTTGTTCAATGTGGTTTTGAACAGTGTTTCAGTTATTGTTTTCACCATATTGAGTCTGGATCAGACAATCCAGTGATTGACATAATGAGTATCGTCCTACACTAGGAAGCTGAATCCAGACACAGTCATACCAATATTAGATGTTGGCATGTGTTGTGTATTGCCTAAATCAGCAATATTTCATCTGTATGACGGGTGTCTAAATAATTAAGCCTGGATCAGACAATCCAGTGATTGACATCATGAGCATCAAACTACGCAGTTGGGACATGATGATGTGCAGCCATCGAGTCTGACTTCCAACTCTCACTAGTCACCTCGTAAGACATGCATGAGTTGCTGCGGAGAAAGTCTAACCCAAATCTAGTCCAAATGTAGTTGAGTCACGTGATCAGCTCTTACAAAACAATGGCATCAGTTTTCAATTTGCAGTAAAGTTACCTCCCCTTCATGACTGATTTGATTTTACTGAACAAAACTATTCCACATCAATCATACATGTAATATGAAATACTACCCCCTTCAGAACTAACAATATTTTATGAAAATAAGACTGACAGATCTGCAAAAATATCATTAAGCACACAATATTTACATTTGAAAAAAAATGCCTTTCCATGACAGCTAATGACATATTTTTCTTTCTGCAAATAGTTTATAGCTCGTTTCCCTGACACATTGTTTCTCGCCAGACAAATGTCTTCAAATATGTCTAGTTAGGAAGAGCCTGTGAGTGATGTCTGCGGCAGGCTTGACAGGTATAAACTCAATAATCATCTTCATGTGATATCACCTGACAGGCCACTGGCGCCATCATTGTCATTGGTTTATACATAAGGAATATAACTGAATCTTGACATCATCTAAATTCATGAAATTCTACAACCTTTCAAAAGTTTGACATTTGTTTCACTTTGGGATGATGAGAAATCGGATGCTAACATTCAACAAGGAAAACAGTATTACATGCTTTCGTATTTGTTCGGAATTAAACTTTAAAAGGATGAAAATACATTTTTCATAAGTGCAATAATTGGCTTTTAGAATTATTCGGGGTAGCAGTGGCACTGTAATTGTAAAATTATTCAAACACAAGCAGGTTTCCCAACAAAAATTCACAAAATTTAATTTTATAATTTGACTTTGTTTTAATTTACACCCTGTCAAAAAGTGAGTTACTGTACTACTGAGTATGGTGGTTTAGTAATTACCAGAGTAGTCATCACATGAAATGGACCATTTAACATGAAGCTAGACCTTCCTTCCACATATATCGAAAACAAATTCAAATTCCACATATATCGAAAAACAAATTCTCCCATTAACACTGTATAAGTAGATGTCACTTTACTGATGATCCTATCAAAATATGATTCGACCTCACTAATGTAACTGTTAGACATTCATCTATGCCTGTCTCACTACCCTTCTTCACATCATTCTAATGTCCAGAATGTTTTTCTTTTGGATTTACAAGAAAATATAATTATATATAATTACCTGCCCCTTGGTTAACTGTTTTGAAAGAAATGTGCAACTATCCATTTAGTTGCCTTAAACGAGAAGGATTCTGTAACATGTGAAGTAAATGTTTGGTAAAGATTGAACATACAAGGCACATTGAGCATGTGCACCGTCACATCAGGTGAAAATGGGTGAAATGGGGTGATATGCGGTTTAACGCTGCAGTCAACATTGTGGCACTAACATAGCTATATACTAAATATAGTTTCGATGTTGCTAATTATACTCATGTGGACTAATGCTATTTATATTGCTAACCCTACTGAGAGTTTAAGCTGGGGTATAACATGGATATCTCACTGAGAGACAAGATGCTGACTCCGATTTGACCTGTCTCTGTGTTATTAATGCAGAATGGCATAGGTAGGATGTGGAATAAATCGTTATAATCACTTTAATGGAATAGTGAGAAATTCTTTTCATTTATGATCTAAAATCATTCTTCCGTTAAAGAAGATTCCAACCTGATTATTTTTAAAAAGAGGAAACATGTTTAAATAGCTATATCCAAATTAATCATCTATGTAATTCCACAATTAGGTCCAAAATAACATTATCTGCTTAATAATCACTGTAAAAATTACAAAATCATGATTCAGATCCTTCTATCATTAATCTTCTTTTTCACATCAAACTGCATAATTCACACATAAAAAAATCGACTATCATCAAAACCCACTTAGGAGTGTGTTAAAAAAAATAACATGTTGACACAATTGAAATATAAATGTGCCACAATCAATACAAATAGTTTGTACAGAATCTGAAAATCTTCAGAATTCCATTAAGGCTTTTATCCTGCATGAAACCCACTGAAGGAAGCAGATTTAATCCATTTGGAACTAACCTTTAACTAATGCTGGGAACAGTTAATCAATCACAGAGAGAGGTTTACTGGAAACTGGTAATTAAACGGTACCCGGGAAGGGCTTCAACATCACAGTTTTATGCCGACTAAGCATAAACGTGTCAACACTGACATGCACACTCTCAATATAAAACCGAGAATGACGGTCCTATTACAAACAGTCCTGTTACTGAAGCAGTATTTCCATGTTATTTAATGCTTAGTAATGTAATAGCCCATTTATAGCCTGTTATCACCATGCACCATGACATGGTTGAAGCGCATATGGTAAGTAGATGGAGATGGTGGTCAGTGGCAGGTTCTATGTGGAGAGTAGATGGATGGTTCTGACAGATGTGTGGTCAGTGGCAGGTTCTATGTGAGATGTGTCTCACAGTGAGGACATTCAGATGGTTCTGACAGTGACAGGTTCTATGTGGAGATATGTCTTGAGGACATTCAGATGGTTCTGACAGTGGTAGGTTCTATGTGGAGATATGTCTTGAGGACATTCAGATGGTTCAGGCAGTGGCAGGTTCTATGTGGAGATGTGTCTTGAGGACATTCAGATGGTTCAGACAGTGGCAGGTTCTATGTGGAGATATGTCTTGAGGACATTCAGATGGTTCTGACAGGTTCTATGCAACTGTTGCAACTGAGGGGACTTTCTCAGTTTTATGATGGCTTGACAGAAGGACAGGATCGAACCTGCCTGGGTTTGTTTGTTATTTAATACGGCACTCAGTAATATATGGCACCAATGGAGGTGATGCTGGGATCTTATATGTGATCCTGGCACAATGTGGTTTGGGACTTTGTTATGCTGGGATCTTATATGTGATCCTGCTGGGACTTGTGCAGGTGATATATGGATCACTGGCACAATGGAGGTGATGCTGGGATCTTATATGTGATCCTGTCTGGGACTGGCACCAATGGAGGTGATGCTGGTATCTTATATGTGATCCTGTCTGGGACTTGCACCAATGCAGGTGATGCTGGGATCTTATATGTGATCCTGTCTGGCACCAATGGAGGTGATGCTGGGACTTATATGTGATCACCAATGGAGGTGATGCTGGGATCTTATGTGATCCTGTCTGGGACTGGCAACCTGTCTGGGATATGTGATCCTGTCTGGAACTGGCACCAATGGAGGTGATGCTGGGGTCTTATATGTGATCCTGTCTGGGACTGGCACCAATGGAGGTGATGCTGGGGTCTGATATGTCGATCCTGTCAGGGACCAGCACCAATGGAGGTGATGCTGGGGTCTGATATGTCATCCTGTCTGGGACTGGCATCAATGGAGGTGATGCTCTGGTCTTATTTGTGATCCTGTATGGGACCAGCACCAATGGAGGTGATGCTGGGGTCTTATATGTCATCCTGTCTGGGACCGGCACCAATGGACACTATGTCATTTAACATCAGACACAAGATGAGACACATCACAGGGCTGAGTCATGAAGTTATTCAAGTATTGCAAATAGAGGTCAAGTAATATGTTCCAAACATATAAACTGATATGTCTAGTTGTTGAAACTCTATTAGTTGTGTTACACTGTCGCCACCTTGTGGGCTCTGATAGCATCACGGTTTCCAGACAAGGTCAGGTTTCAAAAGTATTGACTAGTAGACCAACAGATTGCAAGTTACTTTAACTGTCTCCTGGCCCAAATCACCTCTTTACAAACTTGTGTCTGGAATTTGGATGTCCCCAAGTGATGTAATCAACCTCTGAGCTCTCTGAAGAAAATGATTCCTCCCGATGCACAAAAAATCACTTCTAAACCATTTATGCATTCTTGAATTTCAAGATTAATTTGAGATTATCTTTTTTCCATTTCCCATTTCCTGCTCTACCTCCACCAACTTCAGATCTATACAGCTCCATTCTCCCAATCCAACTCCCATAAATATCAATATGTTCATCAACAAGCGACAAATGTGAAATTCATTCGAAAGCAATGTCCCACTAAAACCAGCTTGACTAAACCAATCTTGAACAGTCTGCCCTCCTCTATAGAGTTATTGGCTGTATGTGACAGATGTGTTGCTATGAGGAAACTCTACTTGTAGATGCATTGCCTTTGTTTATGTAGCATGGCTTATGTAGCACTGTTTATGAGGATGTCAAGTTGCAGCATGACCTGAGGTGACCTGAGGTGACCTGAGGTGACACAGGTCATTGGCATTTACCATCCAGGTCCTCAGTGTTTGCTCTAGTACCAGAACATGTCAGGTCAATACAAAAAGGGTCTGGGTCATTTTCACTTAAAAGAAGCAATCAAACTTTTTCATAGAAAACACTGCTAGTCCTATTACTGTGTGGGTGTCTGGAGTGAGTGAGTGAGTTTAGTTTTACGCCGCACTCAGCAATAATCCGGCTATATGGCGGCGGTCTGTAAATAATCAAGTCTGGACCAGGCAATCCAGTGATCAACAGCATGAGCATCGATCTGCGCAATGGGAACAAATGACATGTGTCAACCAAGTCAGCAAGCCTGACCACTCGATCCCGTTAGTCGCCTCTTACGACAAGCATAGTCGCCTTTTACAACAAGCATGGGTTACTGAAGACCAATTCTAACCCGGGACCTTCACGGGTCGGTTGTCTGGAATGATGTCAACTCCAACAACCCAGCAAGACAATAATAGTCAGCCCAAGACTAACAATGGCTTCTTTTGCTCTTGTTTGTTTAATGCCGAAAATAGCAATATTCCAGCTAAGTCACAGACGTATATGTTACCGGGAATGTGTGAAACCAGGGATTTCATGTAATCCCTGAAAGATTCAGTGATTTCGCGAAATCACTGTGACCCCCAGGGATTTCATGTATTCCCTAAAATTTCCAGGGATTTCAAGAAATTACTGATTTTATTGGTGTTCCATTACACACATTCCCTGTTAGGATATCAGTGAATGCGTGAAATTAATGTTTGTAGCTTAAAACTTTACTGTTGAGTCTCATTTCATCCCTTAGTTCTTTGGAGTTGAAAACTTTGACAATTTACCGATGACACTTTTGGCTAATTACTACCATGAGTTGGGATACCAAGTTAATTTTCTCACGGCTTTACTGTTTAGTCTCAGTGTTAATCAATACGTTGTAAATGTTTTAAAGTGCTACTGAAGTGTAATAGCTTGTATGATAACACTCTATCTTGTCCCAACAAATGAATTTTATCAGGAAATACTCTGTACTCGCATTATAAATTTGGTGTGAAATTTGGTCATGAAATCACTGAGCAAATATTTCAGTAATTTCATGAAATCCCTGGAAATTTTAGGGAATATATGAAATCCCTGGGGGTCACAGGGATTTCATGAAATCACTGACTCTTTCAGGGATTACGTGAAATCCCTGGTTTCACACATTCCCTGTAACATATATAAATGAACAAGTCTGGACCAGACAATCGGACATCATGAGCACTGATCTAAGCAAATGGGGATACAATGACATATCACCCACATCAGTGAGAGTTTCAGCAGCATTACCTATATCGCAAGCCCTGATCCCCTGATCCCATTAGTCATTTACTTCCGGAAACCTGGGTTGCAGAACACAAATCCTACCCCAGGTGTTCCTGGTGTCATCTGTCAACCCCAGGTGATTCAAGGCACACATGTTTACCGGAATGTTCTGGTATTTGTTCTAGTAACAGAAAAAGTCTGGCCTTTGAAAAAATTCAAAATAAGTATTAATCTGTCTTCAAAAAGCTTTAGTTCTGGGAACTGTGCTAGGTTGACTGTAGGATTGGAACACACAACAGCACATCCTGGCATGACAAAGGGACACAACTCTGCCCAGTGAGCCCCCAAACACTGGGCAGCAATGAAGACACTATATGTAAGAACGTGTATTTGGGTAGTGTTGACATGAAACAGAGCTGTGTCACTTGTGCCTGAGTATCTAGAGCTGAGGTACAACACAAGCCGCAACTTACCCTCTCCAGAGCAATCTCCTCTGACTCCCAGTCACCCTCGCCATTGGTCTGAAACATCAAAATGTAATTCATAATGCAAATGTTGATACATGTCTGGACCAGACAATCCAGTGATCTACAGTATGAGCATCGTTCAGGCAATTGGTATAAGATGAGAAAAGTCAGTGAGTCTGACCAACCAACTCTGTCAGTCGTCTCTTACGACAAGCATCGGTTGCTGAAGTCTAATTCTAACCATCGGTTGCTGAAGTCTAATTCTAACCAGGATCTATACAGGATGGTGCAGGTGATAAAATCATTGTAAATGATTGTTATTCAGATGTAACTCTCATACAGCTAGATCACATTGCCTGATAAATAAACCTGAGATGTTAGGAATTCCAGAATTACCACCAATAACTACCCAGAATCAGGTTAACCATAACAGATGCCACCATCATACAAACATGCAAGTAAACAAAATTATGGATTAGCTCCCCTGAGCATTTTGTTTAATGCAGCATTCAGCAGTATTAAAGCAAAAATGGCAACAGTGTGTGTAAATAGTTATGCCTTGACCAGACAATTCAGTGCTTGATATCATTGTATGATGATAAAGCTATCAGTCAATGCACCCAGTCTCACCATCGGATTCATTTGGTTGTCTGTTATGACAAGTATATGTTGGGACCTATTCTCAACCATACCGAGTTTTGACATCATCACCAAGGTACATAATCGGAACAAACAGCAGTCAATATTTTCAACAAGGGGACACAACTCTGACCCTACAGAGCATGTAGCAAGCCACACAGAAATATGGATTATTCTTGTACTTTTGGTTGCACTTCCTGTTAAATATCCTGGTATTCAGTTGGTTGATTTAAACCTATGTTTGTTGTTCTACACTCATAAACATGAAACCCTGGGTACACAAGGCACAGAAAGACCCAAATAACTAGACAATCATAAACATAAGAATCCAATGTATCTTAAGGACACATTCAAATGCGTGGTTCACATGCAAATCGGACAAACACTAGCCAACTGCTAAACAAACAAGCAAATCACAAGAGACCCATTGTTAAATAAGTGGCTCACAAGAGACCCATTGTTAAATATGTGGCTCACAAGAGACCCATTGTTGAATAAACAAGTGGCTCACAAGAGACCCATTGTTGAATAAACAAGTAGCTCACAAGAGACCCATTGTTGAATTTACAAGTGGCTCACAAGAGACCCATTGTTGAATAAACAAGTAGCTCACAAGAGACCCATTGTTGAATAAACAAGTGGCTCACAAGAGACCCATTGTTTAAAAAACCCCAAGTGGCTCGTTGTTGAATAAAGTGGCTCGCAAGTGACCCATTGTTGAACAAACAAGTGGCTCACAAGAGACCCATTGTTTAAGAAACAAGCATTGTCACTAAGGTGACATAATTCCCCGCTGCAAATTATTAAATCAAACTTATAAAGTAATGAAAGTTTAAGTTAAATGTCAACAAAAACATGACCAGTCAACCTCTCTTGATATCTTGCTCTTTAGGTGTTCAAACACGCACATATTTTCAAGACTGACTTTGACCTTGACAATTTGAGGTGAGGTGAGGTGAAATTGGGTTTTACGTCGTACTTGTTAATATTTCTCTCATATGACGATGTGCATGCGTGTGTATGTGTATGTGCGGCTTCTTGTACTAGCCCAGACTGAAGCTGGTTTGATAGTGCTAGCTCACTGAGATACGATGCCGCAGTTAAGCATGAATACCCCACTCAGACACATTATACTGACTCCGAGCCGACCAGTCCTTGTTGTACCCATTAATGCCGAACGCCAGACAGAGACCTACAAGTACCATATTTTAACGTCTTTTGGTATGATGTGAACAAGGATCGAACCCGTGACCTTCCGCTCTCTGGGCGGACGCTCTAACCACTACACCACGGAGGCGGTCTGACCTTGAATGACTGGGCCCTGCGCCTTCCCTAGATAAAGCTTGGTTTCAAATATGAAGAAAATCCAGAGAACAGTTCTTGAGATAGCTTAACATGCAGGTTTACATGCTGAAATCTTCAAAGGGTCGCCATGACCTTGACAATTATGTGAAGGTCACCAAAATTAACTGGGCCCTGCACCTTCCCTAGATAAAGCTTGGTATTGAATATGAAGAAAATCCAGAGAACGGTTCTTCAGATAGCTTAACATGCAGGTAAAACGTTAAAGTCCCCTCGTGACCTTGAAATGAAGGTCAAGGTCACAAAACCTGACTTGGGCCTTTCTTATACTGTGATGAACCTAGGTACCAAATATGAAAAGAATCTCGTCAACGGTTCTTAAGATGTTGCAATTCGTACGTACGGACAGACGGACGGAGCCTAATACTATATCCCCCGCTTCGCTAAACGTGCGGCGGGGGATAAGTGGCTCACAAGAGACCCACCGTTAAACAAACAAGAGACCCACGAGAGACCCACTGTTAAACAAACAAGAGACACAGAAGGGACTGGATGATCACCTTTGACCACGGGATCCATCATAAGATCCACACAATGGAACAATACACTATCACCAACAATCTCCATCCCTGCTGACACAGCAACACAGGGAGGGCCATGCTACAACCACTTGAGACCAGAGGTCATTAATTTTCTACATATAGGACCACCTCTGCTGTACACTAATCCCCAGAGACACATTATCAGCAGCGGGGGAAATAACCTTGCCCTCCCTTCTTTGAGTCAAACGAGACTTTCAGTAAATCTATTCATATCAAACATCAAGAATTGATGGCATGGCAAATTCATCACTGTTCAACATTCGTGCCAAATTCTATGCGCCTTTGTAAGGGAATATTGCGTGGAGAGGCTTCATCAGTCAATGAGAATAACACAGGGCAGTAGTTGTGGAGATTGTACCCATGCAGGGTCTGGTGTTAGACTGGTCATCGGGACCCACTGGGAACTGGAGAAGTGTGTTACACAAGATGCATGGCTTTACTTATGGTACTCGTAATTAGAACTCCAGCCTTAGACTGGGACTTGATACAGGTACAAGAGGGGAGTGGGAGAGTATGTGATTGAGGGTGAGAGAGTGTGATTGAAGGTGAGAGAGTGTGACTCTATTTATTTGTTTGGTGCTTAAGGCTGCACTCACCAATATTTCAGGTATGTGGCAGTGGTCTGTAAATAATCAAGTCTGGACGAGACAATCCAGTGATCAACATAATGAGCATCGATCTATGCAGTTGGGATACGATGATCTGTATCAACCAAGTCAGTGAGCCTAACCATCTGATCCCGCTAGTCGCCTCTTACGACAAGCATGGGTTGCTGAAGACCAATTCTAACCTGGATCTTCACAGGTTCCATGTGGGAAGGAAGCTTATATTATGTAGGTCTTCAGTGAGTGAGTGAGTTTAGTTTTACGCCACACTCAGCAATATTCCAGCTATATGGCGGCGGTCTGTAAATAATCAAATCTGAACCAGACAATCCAGTGATCAACAGCATGAGCATCGATCTGTGCAATTTGGAACCGATGACATGTGTCAACCAAGTCAGCAAGCCTGACCACCCGATCCCGTTAGTCGCCTCTTACGACAAGCATAGTCGCCTTTTGTGGCAAGCATGGGTTGCTGAAGACCTATTCTACCCCGGATCTTCACGGGTCACAGGAACGGAAAATTCAATCTCAAGTGGCTTCAGTATTATAAAATACTATACCAGCCAGCCGTGCATGAGACACCAGGTGCTCAGTGGAACTCAGGCTCTGATATCAAATCAGAATGCTCTGAGATTCATATTGTTTGGCACCAGACACCAAATACCAGTGTGCAGCCAGAGTACTTAATTTCACACACCCTAGTCTTCGTATATACTAACTGCAATGTGCAGCCATTCTGCCCAAGCTAAATCATGTGGAAGCATATATGAGCAATTCTAATTTGGAAATAGCAAAGAAATGCAAATTTTGTGAAAATTGAAAACTGCAATTCGGCAGTTGGCCATATCATTTTGGTGAATTCCAAACTTGATGACAGCAAATATTGACAGTCGATATACAAGAATTCCATAGTTGGTGATATCTACCATTCGATTTTTAGTGATACCCAAGAATTCCATATTTGGTGATACCCAAGGATCCATATTTGGTGATATCCAAGGATTCTATATTTTATATATCAATGCAATCCAATATAGTGATAACGAAGGGATCTTAATTTGGTGACAAGTCAATTGAATGGAAGCCATGAAATCCAAATTTGTTGAAGGTGACTGAAGAAAGAAACCCAAATATGGTCATGACGGCTAGGAAATATGGCAGCCAAATAGCCCATAGTAAGTACACACCAACCAATCACTATTTCATTTATGTAAACTTACACAGATCGACTGCAGTCTAGCCATTCAAATTTCTTTATAACCAAGTAATTCAAATTTGGTAGTCTACATCGAGTAGTCACATTTGGAAAGGGTGGCAGATTCCAATCAGGCATTGAGGCAGCATTCTAATTTCAGAAGAATGCCACTTCTGTCACTTACGGAAAATATCTGTTATATTACCCCAGATTAATTCCTGGCCTATCACTGCATGTGTGTGAACACCCTGGTCTAATGGGCCAACAGCTTCGGGAGCAAACAGACAGAAACAGGAGCCTATCGGCTCAAACAATCGGCCTTCAATATCAATATTTGCTTCTCTTCTGACAAACTGTGATATCTGTTGAAAGTTTGGCAGGGATTTGATCTCGCAAATTGTTCGAGCTGGAAACAGTTAAAGTCTAGTATCAATATTGACACATTAACTGGAAGCAAGTGATATTAAAGGAAGTGCTGGATGTTAAACCTTGTGAAATAGATAACTGTCACAATATACAGATATTTCCATTTTTAGTGCTTTCTAATTCCATTCAAGAAGCTTACAAGAATTTATCAGGGCCTTAATGTCTCCACTATGCTATCTGTGATTCAGTCCAGGACATTAGATGTGTCGGATAACGGGAAACTGCCATCTTACAACTAACAACCAGTATGATAGACACATAAAGCTTATTTATACTGCAAGTTCATCGTTGGCTTCATGAGTTTTATGCTGTTGAGGTGATATCAATATTTCAGATTTTCTTATCAACCTGGCTTTGCAGTGGTTCAAACAAGAATGAAGCCTTCACTGTTCAATGAAAGCAATCTCACCCATGAAATCCTTTCTTTTATGATTTTCCTTTGATTTCTGAAGTTCATTTTTAAAGGAAAAATAAAAAAAATTTAATTATCAAACAGCATTATTTGTCAAATGACTTGAACTCTCAGAATATTAACTTGATGTGTTTTTTCCGTCACCCCTATCAATGAAATTCAACTTTTTATAAATGAACTTTCATTTTTGATGATTCCAGACATCAGGGCACACAGACCTAGAAAATGTGAAACAATCTGAGAATTACTTGAGAACAAGAAGGCAGAGTTAAATTTAGGAGATGAAGAATGAAGGCAATTTTTATGGATATACAACTTCTTTATTCTGTATAGGCAACGTTTCAACAGATTCTAATGCCGCTGTCAAGCAAGTAGTGACACTTGCTTGACAATGACATTAGAATCTATGTCCAAACATAAAAATAGTCCTTATTCTTTATCATCTACAATGTCAACTAGTGTATGTGTATATGTTGCTTAAAGTCATTCTCTGCAATACTGGGTTGATCACTCATCGATCAACCTAACAGAGATATGACGACACGAATGAAGTTACGAAGTTGACAACCAGATCCCGTTGGATTCTCTTACAAGCGTGGGTTGCTGAGGACTTCCTTCACCTGGTGTCTCCATAGGTACTAATGATTCAAAATTCAAACAATTTTCTGAAAAGCAGCAATTTCATTATTTCAAACGACACCTCAAGCTAGGTTCCAACAAGACAAGATCATTGACATTTCATGTACCTTTTTATTTAAGAGCCACCGCAATCTTTATGAAAACATCAATATTTTCATGCTCCATTTATATTTTGTTCAAGGCATTAAACATGTCAAAAACTTCGTACCCAAACAGATCACTTCTATTAAAATTTCACATTTTCCCCCCAACTGTGAGTTTCCGGCACAATTGGCAGCAAGGTCACAGACCAGTAGGGGGCAGTAATGAACAAGGGCTGAGAATAGCCACCAACCACTACCTGCCCAGCGCTGCCAACTCGGGGATCCTGCAGAAAAAACAACTTAAACCTCCAAGATGATTGATCTTGTTTTGAAAGAACACATTGGGCATATCGCTTTTTGTCAATTTTTTCTTCTTTCAAACGGTGGTCATGTGATTTCAGCAATTTTCTCCCAAAAGGGCAAAACGCTGGAGGAGCTGTTCCCATAAAGAAACCAGTTGGAATTGGTTGTTTTTTTTGTTTCCAGTGATGGTTCTGGCAATAGGGAGTCTTCTTGATTAATGTTGTAAGAAATGTTAAACAATTAATGTACTTTAAGTGCATCTATTGTATTTTGTAATTTTTATTCCATATTTTGATCAGAGGTCAACTGGTATGTTGTGAAAAACACGTATTCACATGTACTTCAAGAACAAAAGTTCCACAGGTGAAAACAAGAGATAACAGTGATGGAATTATTCCAGTTGAGTAAAACTATATGATGGCAAATTACCTATATTTGTAAATGAACAATGTATAAGGGCGTACATTATAACAGACAAAGACTTACAATAGTTTCATCAGTGAGTGAGTGAGTGGTTGAGTGGAAGAGTGAGATAGCGAGGTGAGGTGAAATGGGGTTTAATGTCGCACTTAAGAATGTGTGACTGCTTGCACTAGCCCAGACTTAAGCTGGTTTAATAGTGCTAGCCCACTGAAATACCATGCCACAGTTAAGCATGAATACCCAACTCAGACATATTATACAGACTCCAAGCCAACCAGTCCTTGTTGCACCAAAAGGGACCAACAAGTACCAAAGACGAGTTCCTGAAAACCCCTCAACATTTCAGATGTACTTTGGCAATCTGTAAATAATCAAATCTGAACCAGACAATCTGATGATTGATATTCTGAATATCCTAACACATGATGTCCAGGTATGTGATAGAGAATCAACGAGGTCATCAAGCCTGAACACCTGATCCACTTTCCTCTCACCATAGGCAGATGTGGCCGGTTCTAACCAGATTATTCATCCTTTCCCGAATTCCCAGCACAGGAAACTGCTTCTACGTAGATCATTCCCTTCACGATCACTGAGAAACCAGTCCTCACTTCACAACCTGAGGAACTGAAGACATATCTACACTCTTGCGTATTCTGAACATTAAAAGACAAAATTTATGGAAAAATATATTTGTACTTACAAATTCCGAATCTGCTGCTTCCGATCCCTCAGGCTGAAACAATAATGAACAGATATAAATAGATTGCAAACACTGAAGTTGAACACACACATTTCAAATCAAACAACTGAAAATAAGGCTGCATCTTTGAAACTGATGTAATGCTTTCAATGAGTTGTCATCTATTTTGTGATAAAATAATACCTCGCTGAAACCATCCTGACCAGGAATAAGGCTACCACGAACAAATGTGATCAGTTATGTTGAGTGGGTGTTTTGTGTGGGTGTTTGTGTGTATAAGCGAGTTGAGATTTACTGCCTCCATGAATCGTTTGTTTGTTGTTTAACAAAACACTCCGCAATAATCCAGCTGTATGACAGCGACCTGTAACTAATCATATCTGGGCCAGACAATCCAGTGACTGACATCATGGGCATCGATCTACACAACTGGGATACGATGACATACTTCAACTAAATCAGCAAGCCTCCTTTTATGACATGCAAGACCAATCAACCTGGACCTTCATGGGTCTTTGAATAGTATACTGCCCAAGTTTTGATAAGGATATCCTTACTGTCCAGACAGGGACTAACCATGACTGATGGCTGGGAGAAGTTGTTATACAAATAGCATTCAATATTACCTTGAAACAGACTCATTTTCACCAGCATTACATGGAGATTACGACACATGTGTCTGTCACATACTATATATATCTTAAGTTGTAATGTAAATAGCATATGACATACACGATAGCAGTTATGTTTTGCATATACCCTAAAATCGCACCAAATCAACATATTTTGTCTTAATGTCATTTCCTCATGACTGCAGTTGCACATTAATACATCATATCGAACTAACTAGCGTAAGTCATTAACATAACATTCCCTCAAACTGCAGTTTTAAGTTTGTAACAGTATGAAACAGCTCATCAAATGATGAGTAGTATATTCTTTTCAATGTGTGTTTGTATGTTTGTGAGGACAACTACAGGTTTGGAAACCACCAATGTCAAGATCCATGACTGGTATGGTGCTACATAACCAAGGATCACACTTGTGATACTAGGATGGGAACAAAAGATGGCAGATCCTAGCATACCAAAGGGACATAATTCTGTAATGTGACATCAGCACTTCAGGTGCTAGGCTAAAATGTGCCCCCTTCAGGGAATGAATAGAGATTACTAACCTTTAGCATAATACATATGCAAATTTAATTCAACTTGAGAAACTGTGTATGAATACAAAACAGGACTGAACAATCACATACAGGATATAGTGCCAAATATTTGGCATCCATGTTTTTTCACATACACAGTCGCACATCGGGAAACAGAGTTCACACACTCAAGGCAAGGGAAGCAAATACTCTTCTTACCAAAACTTATTATCTATAGTCACAGGTAAAGGGAATTTGAGGTGAACTTTATAACATTATGATGACAATGCAATTTGCAGGAATACAACACTGATGTGATTTAGTTAAAGTATTCTCAAGAATTTCTGTGAACTAGGTTTGGCAGCAAGAAGTAATCACATCGATGTCTAGAAGATACTGAAAGCAGTTAATGCAAACATGGTCATGTGACTTCATTTGCATGTTTCCTGAATCAGGACACTAAGTTCATCGTATTGTATTGTACATCCAGAATTAAGTATATCCTTGAGTAACCATGGCGTGTGCCTCATGCAAGTATTCCGACTTTTTTACCTGTAGAATCTATTCAGACCTCCTAATGGTTGATAGAATGAACAATGAGTCCAATCTGACACAGTCATCCCCTGTACTTGCTTCAGCCAGTTATTATTATTATTGGATATTTATATAGCGCACATATCCAGGAACTAGTGCATGCTTAAGGGATGCATGTACTCAGTTGTTATGACAACCATAAGTACTCGCTATAACTTGTTCTATTAAATCATCTGTCTAGGAACAGAAAACACTACACTTTTGTAGGTGCCGATTGAAAAGAGTTATCTGAGTGAAAAACACATGTGTGTCAACTGACTGACTGACTAGTTTGGTTTCGCCGCTTTTAGCAATACTCCAGCAACATCAAGGTAGGTGACACCAGAAATGGGCTTGTGGGGATTCGAACCGAAAAACGCTTTAACATTAGGCTACCTCACCGCTCCTGTGTCAACTAAGATCAATGAATAAATGTTCCTTGAAAAAACAACAACCCCGCAGAGTGAGTTGGGTTTAATTATGCTTTGAACATTATTCCCATTTTATCATGGCATATTATGCTGAATTGTTTTAAAAGTATGAAATGACGCAGGTCTCATAATCTGTACCTATTTGGTAAAACCTTCATGGGTTTCTGCTGACCAACCAAAACACATTCTCGGATTTAACAGAGATTCCAACCCACAGGACTTGACCAATGATTCTTACCTGAATGTCTTTTGATATCTAGAATAACAAGTAAAATCAGTAAAAGTTTAAAAATTTGAAGACTGCTGAAGATTTTTCAACTTTTAATGATGAGTTGATATTTGATATGATATATTGGTATAGCCCTCTTTATTCCAAACTGCTCTAATTGTGAAATATCATAGCCAATGTCTTATTGCAAAAAGACAGCTAACCATTTCAGACAGACTTCTGATGTCATTTCATTGTGATGACATGGTAACCGATGACATCACAAACCATTGTGATGCAATTTCATTGAAAAAACATCTTGGAGATATACCACATACTATCTGGCAGGCGACAAGTTACAGGGTCCACACTTATATTACCACTGAATGCCTGGAAGGTGGATACAGCCAGTCTGTCTCCTGTGCTAGACTTAGACCATCTACCAAGCATCAAATGATAGCTGAATATAAAAGCTGCAAATTCCTATAATTGAAACGGCTGAGCTATTTTGGACATCAAAGACAGCCATTTTTCCCCAGACAGATCTCGCACTTTTCAGCAATGACTATTCCCAGCAGAGAAAATTAACTTATTTGAAATATGATTTACTTCAGTCAAACACTGGCCTGGATGAGACAGTAAATTAAATACCTATTATATGATCAATATCCAATCATAGGGAAAAGACTTGTTCAGCTACAAAAATTAATTTCCTTTTTGTCCAAATGGAAACACAAGTCAAACAGAGACAGTTCCTTTTGCAAATATGGCACTGAGAGCAATTAATCGTAATCAATGTCTAATGTAAGATAAGAATGATGACATTAAAACGCTAGGAGATGACATCAGCTTCTTAGCTTTGAAAGATAACCCAATGACATTAATCAAATACTCTAAATTTAAAAAAGCAATACACCGGAGGATTTAGTGAAAAAATAGTTTTTAAAAGGCTCATATTCTGTGCTGTTGCCTTCAAATATTTTGATAACATATATTTACAGTTTTGGAGACAAAAAGTTCAATGACAAATTTTTAAAAACTTAAATGTTGAAATGAAGATAGCGTTTGAGTGCAATCAGAATCTAGGATAAATAGTGATAACATAATTTTAAGGTGCATGGAGATTAAACGAGGAAAAGGAAGTGCTGGCACGTACAGGATCGAGCAAGAGCGGATGAACCTTACTATATCCGAGACCAAGTGTTCCACTCCCGATTCCCATTCTCCGTGAAAGCACATCAACGTCAGCGACAGAATACCACGTTTGTCAATGCTTCTAACATCCGACATTTTCTAAATGCTGACTAATGCAAAACCTCATTCAAGGAGAACAATTATCTAATCAAAATATACAGCTGCAAGGAAAGTTTCTCAGTATTGTTGAATCCAAAAGTTTTAACAGGTCATCTCTGGCACCGGTCTCCGGCACCGCTCCCTGGCAGAGATACAGGTGTGAAGGTTTCGATCAGTGAAAGCATTTTGGAGTCTGAAGCGTGTAATGTTTGTGTTTTGGGGAAACAGTAATGCTTTAACATCGAGCTGGTTGTGATACAAGTAATATATTAGGTTACTGACGACAAGTGTTCCATCTTCTCGGGAGACTAGGTTGATGTATTATTTAAAATGACAACAGGTCTAGATGTGCTTTATATTAAATTATAAAGCATCGGCGCAACATTGGGATCTCAGTTTGGGTGATCAAATGATTACGATTGACTGCGACACTTGTTTGTGACATAGGTGGCGATGCAGAAGTGTTGATGAGCCTGTGACGAGAGGGCTCCTGTAGATCTTCCGATAAAGAGACAATTTTCTCGGTTTCGTGATGTTGAAAGACTGGGTATATACATTTGAGACATTATTGTCGCCTGATTCTCTCTAGACAGAATTGGACCCGTTCCAGATCATCAAACTTTCACGAGGGACACACAGACATGTACACACCAGGACGGATCAGTGGGAGAGAATCATTTATCATTCATGTGTTGCATCATAGTCTCTGCCATCATATTTTCCAAACCACTTATTCCATTGCAAAGACTATGTTTTCATAACCACTTATTCCACTTCCATGTTTTCCTGAACATTTGTTCAACCACTGTAGTAATGTAGTGAACCCAATTTTCAAGTTTGCTTATTCCATTACAAACATCATGTTTTCCCAGTAACCACTTATTCCATTACAAACATCATGTTTTCCTAACCACTTATTCCATTTTTATAATGTTTTCCCAAACGCTTGTGCAACTGCTGAGGTAATGCAGTTGATGTTTTTGTGTTGATTAATAATTTATGTGTTACTCATGATGTAAACACAAAATTGATTCATTTTGAGGTAAACCTACCTTCCAAAAAAGAAAAAAAAGAGTTTGTCATACAGCTTTCAAAATCTTGCCTCCAACCATTCCATTTGATTTGCTTTCTTAAGGTTAACCTTAGATATGCACCTTTTAAATCACACTACGTTAAACATTGAGTGATTATTATGTCAAATAATCAAAGATGCTGGTATTCCCATGAAGTCCAATCCAATTGCTAGTGACCTGCTGCGTTTACACTTTCATTGAGCTGGCGACCTCTGTTCAGTTCTGGATGACCTTGAGGTCACTGTTAATTTAGTCCACTACACATGGTGGGGTTGTACAGTCCTCGGAGACACAAGGCCAGATATATT